CACGAGGGAATTGACAGTCAGTTGCAGAAGAAGCTACTTATTAGATTAAGCCCTTATCACCATCAGAGAATTTTATGAATAATTTTCATCATCTTGCAAAAGGATTGCTAGGAGCTTTCAAATCATCCTCCTACATGATTAGAACACTGAAGTACACTTAAGTTTACCGGGCGTCTGATTAGACTAGCAGCTTTCCATTTTAGCATAATAAATTAATTAGGGAACCAGAGATGAGATCATTAGGCAAATGTCTTCATGGGGAAATCTTTTGGACAATGTATTGTCCAACTACGTGGGACCAAAGTGATGTTTTCTCACAAAGTTTCACCCTCGAGCTTACCCAAGTGACTTTTCATCGCATTTCGGCTGCGACACCCGTCCTTCATCCCATTAAGGGGTATTTCGGGGGGGATCTCTGATTTCTCCACAGTTTCTGTTCTGTGATTAGTTCTAAAAGTGACTGACGTTCAGCAGAAAATAGCAACATGCCGGGAGTTGTTATCGTGACAGAACATCACTTCTGCAGCACAGACTGGATTAGTACGGTATAACACCGTGTGGCCTCGGGGCTCAGGATTTATCCCATTATCACCTGCTGTTGACTTTTCCTCCGCTGTTATTTCTTAGTTTCTGCTAGGAAAAGAAAAAACTGCTTGATGCGGTTCTGGTTTTGGTCATTTTGCCATTTTTAGAGCAAGCACATGACCCAAATGGAACTTTATATTTTGTTTTTCTACGTTAGATTTGGTTGGAATGATGGTGGTGTACATGTGCAGTAAGCGCAAGTCTTCTCCAGTTACATCACTCAGACCGTATTGTTATTGGGTTTTCTACATGGCTTCAACCTTAACATGACCAAAAAAGTAGGTCTGCATTCTCGTCACAACGATCTTAAAATGCTGTTCAATCTATGAACCAGTCATTACCTTTCAATCATTGATGAGCTTTGCAGGTTTTTTTTTTTTTTTTAGAAATAAATCACTTTGCCTTTTGAAGGGTTTAGCACAGTTACATAGTCATTTAAATAAAACAAAAAAAAAATGATGTTATAGGTGAATAAGTCAACTTTTGATTTGCATTTAGGCCTAGTCCACACGTAGCCGGGTTTTTTTTTAAACGAATATCCGCCCCTCCAAAAACTTGCATCCACACCACCTCGTTTAAAAAAAAAACTGTCCACACGTACCCGGATAAATACGTTGTTAAGGACATGCCAGACCTGTAGGCGGCAGTACTTCCCTCGTTCTTAACCTCGTCCTTCGTCTGTGGTCTTCCGCAAGGAGCAGTAATTCCTCTTGCACAAACAAACAAGCAAAAAACGCTTGGACGATTGATAAAGCGAGCGCAGCTCTGAGGGCATCCATGCTGTCGGCGAGTGTAAACACAGGTCGCACACGTGATGTCAGCATTTTTTTTTGTCGCGGAAAGTGACGTTGCGGACCTTAAAACTCCGGTTTTGTCTGTCCACACGCAGACACCCAAAACGGAGAAAACGCAGATCTTCACTTTGGCCGGAGTTTTTATAAAGATCCGTTTTCGTGTGAAAAAACTCCATTTTTGTGTGGATGACAGGCCAAAACGTAGAAAAATATCTACGTTTTGGCAGATCCCTGGCTACGTGTGGACAGGGCCTTAATCAGTTTACAACTTGTTTTGGAAACATTTGTTCATTAGGGTCAAAAGGTCAAACACATTTGGGCATTTTTATTGGATTGTCGTTCCTATTTTTTGCTGAAGCTTAGCAGTGCATTCTTGCATGATCACAACTGTGTGCTTTTATCTCTGGCCCCATCCCCACCGTTGATAGAGGAACTGGACGCTTTAGCCGCATTTTATCTTTGAACACCTGGCTTTCTTCTGTCACTGTGCAGCACAACATTGCTTTTATTGACAATTTTAACATTCTTTGGGGCAGGAAGCATCTGTTTGGGCCAGACGGACTCCATCTAAATAGACAGGGAACCCACACACTTAAACTAAGCCTGGGCTGCCCACAACCACCTCTACCCACCACACCACCCCCAGCTGCCCCCACGCCCCAACCTCCTGCCCCCACATCATGATGTCCCACTGGTCCAGGAACCTATGAAGCCAGTTATGATTTTAACAGTAACTCACATATCGGACTTGGACCCTTGCACACCTCTCACACACCTGTCATCAGCAGAGAGCGATCACATAAACGTAAAACTAACCGGTCTAATCTTAATAATCTTAAACGTTGTCAAGAATCTCACCCCCAGTAAATCACAAAGTCACTCCATCTTTAGCTACTATCAATATGGCTCTTTTAAATGTTCGCTCTCTGCTGAACAAAATTTTTATTATAAACGACCTAATTTTAGATAATCACCTTAAATGTGTATTTTTGACAGAAACATGGTTGAGTTCAGATGCTCCTGCTGTTCTCACAGAGGCTTCCCCACCAAACTTTAATTTTACTTATTCAATAAGAAATGGTCAATATTAGATTTTTTTTTACAATTTAATTTTAATTTAACGTGTGGATGTGATAATATTTAACATACAAAACAAAAATAATCAGTAAATTATCATGTAGATAGTAAAAACTTAAACCAAAACAGGAAATTGATGTTAACCTTTGACCTCATTTTCTACCTGCGAACGAGTGAAAGGTAGAGCTAGTGGTAAAACGGACTGGTTTCTGTTGCCCAAATTTCCACGGGTTCAGTCAGGAACGAATGAATCTTTGGAAGTGATCTCAGACCCACAAAAACCTACGGATCTGGATGAAGAGGGCCAACCCTCAACCGCCGCAGCAGTTGAGGTTTTTGCCACTGGAAATGCTAACGCTAACATTAGCTAACCTTTCAACACTATAGATGGTTTTCTGTGTGGCTGTATGTGTTTATGATTTCATGAAAAAGTCAGCGATTGTTCATATGTTTATGAACTCATGTTAATGATTGTTTCAGGTTTTGTTGAGGTTTTGTGCACGCATGTGTATCTTCTAGTGTTGAAGGTGTTTTAGAGAACAATAGGTACGCATGACCACTTCCTTCATAGCACCCTCAATAAAAAGAATAGCTCCTTCATAGCACCTGCAGAAAAACATTTCTGGAGCCGCCACTGGTTACAAACATTAATTTCATCCTTACGTTTCCTCTTTGAAATCCACCGAGTGGTTGAAACAACAACACTAAAGCAATGTAGCGGCCGCCAAAAAAGACCAATTTCCGGCCGAGGTCTTTCGCGCGTCGATTTCCCGGTTAAAGTAATGACCCGCCATCTTGTTCTCACTTGAAAGTTCTTTCCGGTGAAACGCCAGCTGATGTCTGCAGCCAGGTCCTACTCACTGGGTCTGCTTATATTATTATGCGTTTTAAAGATGACCCTAGCTATTATTTTTTGAGAGCCATAATTTTTTTCCCTTTTGTGTGTGTGTGTGTGTGTGTGTGTGTGTGTGTGCGTTTTGTTTGTTTTTGTGATTGTGATATGATTATGTAAAGGACTCTGCTGTCTTATCTGCTATTTTGTTCATAATCTGAGGACCCGCTCGAAAATAAGACGACACATCTCAAGTGGTTTTTATCTTCATAAAATATAAGTTAAATAAATAAATAAAGTAAATAAATAAATAACAAATAACAAGGGGAAAAGGTAGACTGTATACATGTGATTCAGGCATACATTTTTCACAATTTAAATGATTAAGCAAACAAAAAAAGAAGAAAATTGAGGAATTGAATAGTCCAGGTGTTTATTTTTTATTTTTTTATCAATCTGTATGAATAGATGTCCTGTGAATGTTAAATATTATATATTCTAATATCAGTCAGTGACTACAACTAAAACCCCTAAACTCAACTTTACCTTTTTTCCCCATCACCATACATCTTTGTTTCCATAATAACAAAATTTATGATGTCCCTGCATTAAAATACATAATGATTCTTGGTTTACATAACATTTCTAAAAAATATGATCGAACCTGATTTATGGCTAATTCCATGCTGTCGTCCTTTTTAAAACACAGAAACAGTTTCGTTACCTGTTTTCTCGCTACGTTTCGTTTGCGGCTGCAGACTTCCTCAGAGCTGACGCTGATGGTGGCGTCACTTCCTTCTCCGTTTATCCGCGGGCAGCAGAGGACATTGTCGCCCTCTGCTGCCCGCTCTCCCCTCTCCGACAATGCAGTCCCATGCGCGGTCCAACGTGTAAACTCCATCGTCTCTGTTCATGGTCCCACATCCACGTCTCCTTATCTCGACAGCTTCTTTTATCCATCTTTGATGTTTCTGTTGTTCGGTGTTTATGATCCTTGTGTTGTCCCAGTCCATTACATGGTTTTCTCTTATGCAGTGATCTGTTATGGCTGACTTCTTTATTGTGCCTTCTGCTTCTTCTTTTGCTGCTCTTGTGTGTTTTCAACTTTTCTCTTTCTCGCACTCCTTTCTATGTTCTATTGTTCGTGTGTTGAGTTGGCGTCCGGTTTCTCCTATGTATGTTTTATTGCAGAGTTTGCATGGGATTTCGTAAACGACTCCACATTTAAGTCCAGCTGGTATCTTGTCTTCTGGGTGCACTAGTCTGTTTCTAACTGTTGTGTATGGTTTTGTTGGTGTGTTGATGTTGTGTTTTTTCATTGTTGCTCTTATTTTTTCTGTTATGCCTTTGATGTATGGTAGGGTTATTACTGGTTTTGGTTCTTGTCTTTCTGGGTTTCTGGTTCTTTGCCACGAGCTAGCAAACGTACATCTTTGATGCTCAGGTATTTCACTGGGGACAAGGCTCTGATGGGAAGCGTATGGGGTGGTGGTGACCCTCTCTCCTTTAGCATCATGTCCATCCTGCAGAGTTACATCTTGTGTGTTTACAATAAACTAAAGTAAACCGTCTCCTGGATGTTTAATATTCAGATAGATAAAGGAGCATTATCAGTCTTTTCATCTACAGCTTGGCTGATGCTGATAAAGGCAGTACATTGGTCCTCGTGTGCATTTCTCATCCTGCTTTATCTCTAATGTGTGTTTTTGCAGTGAAGATGGCTACTAACCATGAGGCTGGAGCCAGACTTGCCCTTTGCTTCCTTCCATCAAAAAGAAGTCTCTCTGGTGCTGCAGTCGGTGCGCGCTCTCTGAATATGCCAACGAAGCACAAGAAAGCTCAGCGGACTTCTTAATGCTCTCTGTAAGTACCGACTCTTTACAGTAACAGACTGTTTACTCTTGACACTCAGATCAAGTCCAATCCCATGCGAGCGAATCATTTCCAGATTATACAAGATATTTTAAAACGGGCATCAGAAACACTCCCTGGGCCAACTCACTTTACACATTTAGTTTTTTTGATGTCCTTTTTTATGAACGTTCTCTGTTGCTGCGGGTCAATTTAATAATAATAATAATAATAATAATAATAATAATTTTTATTTAAAAGTGCCTTTCTGGTCACTCAAGGACACTGTACAGAATAAAAACACAAATCATTCAGTAAGTAAACATACGTAAACATCAACAAACAAGGCACTCTAAAATTCAAAGTTGATAAGTGGTTATGAAGAGGTGAGTTTTGAGTTGTTTTTTGAATTCTGTGAATGAGTTAATGTTCTTGATGAGAGGGGGAAGGGAGTTTCAGAGTTTGGGAGCGGTGCAGCTGAGGGCTCTACTCCCCATGGTGCTGAGACGAAAGGAGGGCACAGAGAGATGAATGGAGGCAGAGGACCTGAGGGAACGGGACGAGGTGACGATGTGAACGAGATCTGTGAGGTAGTGAGGGGCAAGGTTATAGATGGCCTTGAAGGTGAGAAGGAGAATCTTGTAATTACCGTAAATCCTCTAATACAGGCCCGGGCCTGTATTTGACTCAAGTTAATCAAGCTCCAGGCCTTTATTGGAAGGAGGGCCAGAATTAGAGGCAGGCCTAAATTTCTATTTCTTCACCTTATGAGTTACCTTTTAACTGCAGTTCTAAAAGATCTACCGACCGCAAAAACAGCGGAGTGCTTGCTGCTTGCAGGCCGCATCAGTGATCGGTGCGTCACCTGAGGACAAGGTGATCCACAGCAGTGAAACACATCAGGCGCAAATAAAAGACAGAAAACATTAAAGGAAATGAGCCGACATGAACAATCGCGTGTTAAATTAGTTTTTGAGGTGGCGACACCTGATTTGATAATGTTACTGTGGCCGTGCTCAGGACGCAGATGTATGGAGCGCGTCAACAATCAGAGCTTTGCATGCGCAAGCTGGTTAAGGTTAGGATGGGGTGAGGGGAAGGTTAAATTGCAAGAGGGTAAAGGTCACAATTTGGTTAAATGTCCGTTTTACGGCGGGTGTCAGTACCGACGCTCTGGCACAGCGCGTTGCCTCCCGACGTGCAGGAGCTTGTCACCTGCTGACAGCAGGCAGCTGTCTTTTCCGAGGACTGCATCTTGCCGGTCATTATCACGTGACAGCGACTAGTCGATGACAGGCATAAAAAGTCACTATAGTGAAGTCGACTAGTTCATACAACCCCTATTGCTCCCCAGTGTTCTGCAGCATAATCAGCACGTTCTCTTTGAACTTGATATCAAATTTTCACCTCCTCTTCGTCTCCGCACGGTTGAAGTTACCCTCGCGGTCTATCGCTGCCAAATCAAAAGTGAGATGATGACACAACCGCCCTCCCTGTGGCACTTGCTTGTTACCACATTCCACCCGGCCACAATAAAATACCGGCCATTATTCACCTCCGCCGACACCGGCCAAAATATGATACCCGGCCGTTAATTGAATACAGGCTAATATTAGAGGATTTACGGTAATCCTGGTATGCACTGGTAGCCAATGGAGTTGTTTGAGGATGGGGGTGATGTGATGAGAGATGGGAGTTTTAGTAATGATGCGTGCTGCTGCATTCTGAACCAACTGGAGCTTACGGAGGGTTTTCTGAGGGAGGCCTGAGAGAAGAGAGTTGCAGTAATCGATACGTGATGTAACCAGACTATGGACAAGAATAGAGAAGTAGAGTGGACATCAAGGGAGGGGCGAAGACGATTAATGTTACGAAGATGGAAATAAGCTGACCGTGTGATGCTATTGATATAAGATTGGAAGGATAGTGTGCTGTCTAGGATGACACCCAGACTCTTGACCTGGGGAGAGGGGGAAACTGAAGTATTATCAACAGTGAGAGAGAAACTGTCAAATTTTGAGAGGGTGTTCTTGGTACCAACCAAAAGAAGTTCTGTTTTGTCTGTATTTAATTTCAGGAAGTTCGAACTGAACCAGGATTTTACGTGATATTTAAATCTTCACACAAACACTCAACATTTTCCTCCTCCTTTAGAGCTGAATTAATTTTAGAGTCACAGGTGGCGCTAAGTACTCTTAATTTATGCATCAATTATGTAAAATCTAAGGCATTAATCCAGGTAACCAGTTAAACGTAGTTCAGCCTGCCATGCACGGCGTTTGGTTCTTTTTTTCAAACCTGCACTTTTGTGCACTGAAGCTGCTCGATGGCTTCCTGGAGCTGCTATTGAAGCCTGTGTGGCATTTTTCCAACACTTGAAAGCTGTTACAGGAGCTCGGCCCGCATCAGTGGATGGAAATGAGCTCTTCATGGTGAGATGTAAAGGAAAACTGGAAGTCCTGACATACGCTTTGTGATGCAGTCAGACCAAATCTCTGAGTTCAAGTTCCCCTTCCAGTTTAGTTTCATAATTTTCAGTAAGTAATGTCCTAATTTACTAGAATCTATCTAAACATTTGGTGCTCACCAGAAAAAATAAAACGTCTCGTCGTCGTCGTCTTCCTCCGCTTATCCGGGTCGGGGTCCGGGTCGCGGGGGCAGCATCCCAACTAGGGAGCTCCAGACCGTCCTCTCCCCGGCCACCTCCACCAGCTCCTCCGGCAGGACCCCAAGGCGTTCCCGGACCAGATTGGAGATGTAACCTCTCCAACGTGTCCTGGGTCGACCCGGGGGCCTCCTGCCGGCAGGACATGCCCGAAACACCTCCCCAGGGAGGTGTCCAGGAGGCTTCCTGACCAGATGCCCAAACCACCTCAACTGACTCCTTTTGATCCAGAGGAGCAGCGGCTCTACTCCGAGTCCCTCCCAAAAAAAAGTTTCTGAATGATTAATCTTGTGTTTATGTTCATCGGGACATAAAAAGTCTTTTTTAAACTCATTTGTGTAAAACAAGTCGAAACCGGTTGAATCTGCCTGGTGAGTTAGTAAGAGATCCGTCTCTGCGACTGTTTAGTAAAGGACGTCTGCAGTGGCTCTGGGTCGTGAGGTGGGTCCATGTGGAGTAGTTCTGAGTAGTCAGCATCTTCCCTGAAGTAGATAAAGGTCAGAGTGAATCAGAAGCGATTTCTCATGAAGCTAGCTGCTAATACTCAGAGGCCTTTTCCAGAATAAATTATCCTTGTTGAGTACGACTCAAATATTAATAAAAATACAATAAAGGTTACTCACTTTATACAAAAAAGAAAAAGAGTAAAATGATAAATTTGTATTAGTTATTAGTTTTGCTGATAATCTAAATAAAACACATTTCCCCCATATTAGCGTAGCCCATCGATGCCTTTCTAAAACTTTATTTTTATCTGAATTGCTCAAAAAAAATGAAATATGCACATCAGGCCAGTATTCTGTTTGATCTGTGATCCATCTGAATCAGTAGATGGTTGATTGAAGCATCTTCAGATGGAACAGCAGGTTAAGGAATCGATCACATGCCTGAAAACCACAAAACAATGTTTTAGCTCTGTGTCACAATCTACTCCTGCCTCCCTGACTGTGTCTCTCCTCTGCCCTTAATTAGTCTTTATTGTTCTCACCTGCCCCTTGTTAATCCGCCCATGTTTCCTGATTTTCCCCTGTGTATTTATACCTCCCGTCTTGTTTGAGTCTTTGTCGGATCATTGTTTGTTGTCAGCGTTGTTTTTGTTCTGTCGTTCCCGCTCTGCCATTAAAACTACTTTCATTTCATCCGTGCCTGCATTCCTGCCTCCTGATCTGCTCCACCACACATGGTCCGCCGTCATCCACACCCGCAACGTGACCCTCTGTGAGGCAAGTTTTTGTCTTTAGAAAGGGAACACATTCATTTGGATTTCTGCGTCGTTGAAGGATGAAGCTCGCAAAGCACACCCCTGTCACCGGGCTTAGAAATCTTAAAGCACCCGACTGAAATCAACCAATCTGCAACAAAATAAACAGTTTAGAAAAGGAACTTCCCGAGACCGACTCCCCTTGTCAGGTGTCGTCATCCAAACACATTTTCAGAGTTGATTGAATGTGATCGTGGATCGAGTTTAGATGTTTCCAAAGTCATCGGATCAGATGTCGGTCCGTCGTGGCAAAAGAACACGAGAACGCTTCATATCAACATGCTCACTTCTCACTTGAGGACTGTGTGTGTGTGTGTGTGTGTGTGTGTGTGTGTGTGTGTGTGTGTGTGTGTGTGTGTGTGTGTGTGTGTGTGTGTGTGTACAGATGCCGCAACTGCTGAATGGTCACACACACACACACACACACACACACACACACACACACACACACACACACACACACACACACACACACACACACACACATGCCACTGTTTGATGCTGCTGCTCCACCAACAACACTGTTAAGTGTTCCCTCTTCATCATACTGATGCTGTCCAGAATCATTTCTCGGATGGTGCTACTGCTGTTTGAAGTGAAGTTTCATATGTGTGAGTGTGCGTGTGTGCGTGGGTATGCGTGGATGTGTATGTGCCTTCTGAGAACGTGTGTCATTGACACTGGAGTTCAATGTCACTTGTTGCGTGTGTCTAAGTGACTTCCAGGTCATTTTATGTGGAGGTCTTGATAATGACCAACACAAGAGGGCAGCGCCAGCCTGCGGGGGCAAAATGAGAAGCTGACCAGTCACATTGTTTTAGTCTGAGCGGCTCGAGAGAAAAGAGAAGACCCTCCGGCTCCGACAGATCCAGAGGGATAGGCTGGCTGCACACACGCTCTCATCATCTGTTCAGTATAGATGCAACTCCACACCACACGTCGCTAAGTTCATAAATGAATAAAAAGGCTTGACTACACTCTTAGAAATGTCTTTAATCCTCAAGGAAATTAATACTCATTTTCTTAGCAATGCACCAGGATCTGCACATTAAGCCTCTCTTGAATTCTTTATCTGGACTGTTTTAC